TTAGTGAGAGACATAATACAGTTCCTTTATAAGAATTCTAGTCTCCAGCCCCAGATAAATGATATTATATGGCACCGAGGAAATCTAGAATTGACTCTGGAATTCCTGTTGGTAATCATGGAGAATGAGTACATTGCCATAAGGTGAATGTCTTAGTCCATTCAGGCTGATATAACAAAAATACCATAGACTGAATGGCTTATAAACTACAGAAATTTATTTCTCACAGTTCTGGGGGCTGAGAAATCTAAGATCAAGATGCTCACAGATTCATTGTCTGCTGAGGGACCACTCCCTCGTTCACAGATGACCATCTTCTCATTGTAACTTTATATATAATAGCAGAAGAGTCAAGTAAGCTCTCTGGGGTCTCTTTTGTAAGGACACTAATCCGTTATAAAGGAACCCTCATAACCTAATCACCTCCCAGAGTCCCCTACCTTCCACTACCATCACATTGAGGGGTAAGGATTTCAGGATATGAATTTGGGGGGTGGGCAGGATGCAAACATTCAGTCTGTAGCAATGGATAAACATCTGATTTTCACAAAAGAACACGGAACAGGCCATAGACTATAGAAATTAACCAACATTCATGAGCTTCATGTCAGTGCCTGGCAAAATAGGATTATTAAACAGATGGTTTGTGAGCACTTAGATAATGAAGTGTAGTGATCACTAGGAGCCACCATGAGTTCACCATAACAAATCACATCAAAATAACTTAATTTGTTTTAATAGGATTACTAGATTAGGGAAAACCATAGACTGCAATAAAGCATTTAACTAAGTTGCTTGTTGTGGACAAGTTGAAGAAATGTGGTCTTCATAACAGTTTGGTAAGTATATTCATGAATGATTGTATAATCATATTCATAGCACATAAATTAATTATTTAACAAGAAGCAATATAGGGAGGTGGTTACAGTATAGGTTCTGGAACCAGCCTGCCTGGGTTTGAATCCTGGCTCTGCCACTTACTAGTTGTGACCTTAGGTGAGTTACTTCATCGTTTTAAGCTTCAATTCCTTACCTGTAAAGATAGGGATAATAGTATTGTTGTGGAAATTTAATGAATTGTCACAAACAGTAAGGACTTAATAAATACCTTTAATAAATATAGGATGTGGATTTTTTTAACCAGGAGGAAAGCCTATAATGACTTGCTATAAGGCTCTTAACCAAGCCTGTCCATTTTGACATTTTTGTCCAAAATGTAAATGAAGACACTGGAATTTGAACTTAAGGATAGCCCAAATCTGGCAGAGTACCAGCACATGAATAGCAGAGTCAGGTTAACAATAGACCTTCATAGGCTTAAAGATAATCTGAACCTGGCAAGGGAAAATTATGAAATCCCTTCTTTAGTTCTAGCAGTCAGTTGTACCTGCTTAAAAGAACTTCGTAAGAAAAAGACTTAGAAGCTTGAATTGACTACAAGTTCCATTTAAGCCATCACTTTTAAAATGCAGAAAGTAATTTATTGAACAGACCAAAGGAAGAAACAGCCCCATTGTGGGTTTGCTGTATTATCCAGAGCGTGTGTTGATACTGTATTCTATTCCATACACAAGTTTAATAGAAACATTAGTAAACTGAAACTGTAACCCAAGATAATGAATATGTTTGTTAAGAGGAGCTAAGAAGAACGCTTTTAACCTGGAAAAGGAAAGGTGAGATGTATATTAGACTGATCTTCAGATAACGGAAAAGATAATATATATAATACAGATTGGATTTATTTGGTAAGACTCATTTTGGAAGAGCTAGCATCTGGAAGACAGTTTGACAGTTTTTAGCTTAGTATTAACATGTTCTAATGATTGTAGCTCTTTAAAAATGAAATGGGGGCCAGACGCGGTGGCTCACACCTGTAATCCCAGCACTTTGGGAGGCTGAGGCCAGCGGATCACCTGAGGTCAGGAGTTCAAGACCAGCCTGGCCAACATGGCAAAACCCCGTCTCTACTAAAAATAAAAAATTAGCTGGGCATGGTGGTAGGTGCCTGTAATCCCAGCTACTTGGGAAGCTGAGGCAAGAGAATCGCTTGAACCCAGGAGGCAGAGGTTGCAGTGTGCCGAGATCGCACCATTGCACTCCAGCCTGGGCAACAAGAGTGAACTCCGTCTCAAAATAAATAAATAAGAAATGGGTTGATTTGTGAATTCATAAAATCCCCAACCTTAGAAGTATTCAAGCAGAGGCAGGGTGTCTACTTATCAGGCATATGATGGCACAGCTTCTGTATTAGGTGGGAAATTAGAACTTTAAGGTCTCTTCCAGTATTAACATTCTAGTGTATTTGAGGACTTCACTTGTACACACGTTGAATTTCATTTAGCTGCTTTGTCTTCTTCAATTAATAATAGTCATCTGTAGCCTATGTTATATACCTTGAGTTCCAAAATGACTTCAGTAGCAGTTGAAAGAAAGTTAGAAGAGTAGTTTGGTTGCCAATCATTTTAACAGACCTATCCCATGTACAGAAGTCTTCTACTCTATTTCAGAAATGAATTAGCATCTGGGTCAATAAACATATAAGTAGCAACTTCTTCGGTGGTTTTGGAGTATAGCAAAACCTACTGGTTATCCATAGGACACAATCTTTTTTTTCTTTCTTTGAGATGGAGTCTAACTGTGTCGCACAGGCTGGAGTGCAGTGGCATGATCTCAGCTCTCTGCAACTTCTACCTCCCAGTTTCAAGGAATCCTCCCTCCTCAGCCTCCTGAGTAGCTGGGATTACAGGTGTGTGCCACCACACCTGTCTAATTTTTGTATTTTTAGTAGAGACGGGGTTTCACTATGTTGGCCAGGCTGGTCTCAAAACTCTTGACCTCAGGTAATTCGCCTGCCTCGGCCTCCCGGAGGGCTCAGATTGCAAGTGTGAGCCACCACACCCTGCCCCATAGGACACAATCTTGTAAGTCCATAGAGATAGGAATACATAAAATCAATATTAAATAATATATTAAGTATGTCAAACATACATATGCCTGAAATTTCTATTAATGCTTAACCATTAAAAATTGATTCTTTCAGTAGTCTTTCAAAAATTCCCAAGTAACATAGCAATGATTAGCAATTTCTCAATTTGTATCTAATCACTATATAATAGATTTTAAAGATATAAAAACATGCCTCATTATAACAGCCTAAAATAATTACTTTTTTAGCATTTGAATGTAAATGATAAGGGATTTCATGAAGCTTTTCCCTTAAAATGTTTGAACATATTTAGAATGACTTTGTTATGTACATAGTTCTATGCCAGAAATCTTCATTACAAGAGCTTGGCAAAAATATGTTGCTCTTTTCCATTAAACTTATTTAACAGACTTTTAATATCATACAGAAGATATTCGAACAAGCTTCAGTTATAAAAGTACGCTTGCCCTTTTTTTCTCGTTTCTTTAGATAAGTGGGCACTAGAAATTATAGATAGTTTTGGCAAGAGTTCAAGGGTTAATGTAGCAGATAAATAAAAGGAATTTTCTGTAAATTGAGACCTGCATTATTTCAGTTGTCTTGTCTTTCCTTACCTAACTCATTTAATTTTAAAAAGTAAATACCTAAATTCTTCCTGACAGTGTGCTCAGCTTTTACTATCGTTTATTACTTCAATTATACTTGATATCACTTAGAACAATCTGCCATTTGGAAATCTCAGTATAGCCTGGAGCTTAGTATTAGATCTGGCTGCTATTGTAACATGTACAGCATATGACATTAATGTATCAAAATTAGATTGGATCATCCCTCCTGGTTAAATTTATTTCACATTTCTTTTGTATTCAGTTAACATAAACCTATTAGGGAAGCTGACACATGGGGATGGCTGTATAGGAAGGATATTTTTAAAGTATTTTGATTAAAAAATGAAATTATGAAGCCATGGCTTTTCTGAGTTGTGTAATCTTTTTTGCTTTTTAAAAATGTCATAAAGCCCAAGTCTCACACGTTTATATTATTCAACTTGTGTATGTATATAAGGAGTTACTCCAGGATTAAGGAGTGACAGAAGAGAAGCTTTCACTAATTGGACTTAACTCCTCTCTTTGTTTAAGTCATATTTTAAGTTCTTTTTCCTACCCTATGTTCATCCTTAAGCCAAAATAAATGACATATTTCTGAAATAGAAATTGCCCGTATGTTAGATGATAGCGTAAATATTGATGACAGTTATCCCAGGTTTACTCTTCTAAACCTTTCCACCTGCCGTGTGTCTAGTTATCTGAAACTAATGGAAATCCCATGTAAGATCTGCACTAAAAGTCAACTCAAATGCTCACAGTGGCAGAATCAATAAATGCACTAGTATAATGAAATTTTATAATAAAATGCATTATTCTATAGCATTCTCTCTGAAGAAACTCAAGACTAAAGGGCATTAAGTTCATTTTTTTAATACCTTATCAGAAATCCAACTTCTGAATGTTTTATGTTTTTACAGTTTTAATTATCATAATGTTAACTCTCTCTGATTGCCAGAAACACCTTTGTAAGCAAGCACCACAAACATTTAAATAACATCTTGAGGGTCTAACAATTCTCAAGACATCTATTTGGAAGAATATTTGAGTTTCATAGGCAAAGAAAACCTGGAAATAAATTTGTTAAACCAAATGTAATCAACTTTCTCGTACTCAATTGGGGATTATCCAATTTATGAGTTATTTACTTCTTTTTTTAAAACAATCTTTTAAAAGATCTGTTAGTGGAGAATTGGTGCAGTTGCTGGCTAAAGAGAGTATTTGGGCTATATGTGAATCTTTTTAAATCTAAGTTATCTGTTTCCCATTGATTATTGACAATTGAAATTGTCTGGTCTTCTGCAGTGTCTCCTAATGTTTTTGAATGTTTGTGTTTCATATGTAAAACTGATCAAGCGCAATTTAACAATTTTTTAATTTCGTTTTTCCCCTTTTTATGTTGTATGTGACTGTAGGACTGTACTCAAAGAGCTTTTAAAGCAGTATAAATTATTTTCTTGTTTTTCCAGTTGAGACATTTGGGAAATGATGAAGTGCACATTGTTTGGTCAGAGCATACTAGAGACTACAGGAGAGGAATTATTCCCACAGAATTTGGTGATGTCCTTATTGTAATATATCCAATGAAAAATCACATGTTCAGTATTCAGATAATGAAAAAACCAGAGGTAAGAACTCCTTATCTTCCATTTTAATAATAGATTTTGGTTCTATAGGGGTTCATTGGTTTTTTTCCATATTACAGAATAAAATTTGGAGTAGGCATCAAGTTGCGAAAGTGAGGGTAAATGTAACATAGACCCTGGTAGCTACATGGATTGCCTAAGCCTGGTTCAGAAGGAGCTAAAACAGAATAAATAGCAAGAAACTGTGTTCAAATGGGGGATTTGGCTAGGTAGTGCCAGAGTGAAAGTTCCTTTGTACCAAGCTCAAAAAGGACTTACCTTTTATTAAGAGAATAATTACAGTTTCCTGAAAAACACAGCAAGAAGTAACATTTCCTTTAGAATAGGAATATATGATTCCTATATTTTTAGTTGTTACATCTTATTAAGATTACATCATTATTAGTCATGTCAATAAATGAGGATTCTACAAATTGAAAAAAATAAGCCAAATAGTTCAGTCACCTATCCTATAGTTGGATGTCTTATATATACACCATAAAATTCAAACACACTATTGCAGAAATATTTTCTTCAAGGATAATAAAAATTTGGTAGTATTTTTGGTGTGTTCCTTCCCTTTTTTAAACTGAATTCTTCAGTTTCTAGAAAACCTGCATTTGACAATTGATTATGAATCTTCAGAATTCCTTGAATTGTATTGTTTCTCATGTATGAATTTCTTATGTATGAATTTAGGTTTCTTCAGGGTTCACCTAAACCAGAGGTCAGCAGACTGTGGCCCATAGCCTGGTTTCATACAACCCACAAGCTAAGAATGTTTCGGTTTTGGTTTTGGGGTTTTCTACATTTTTAAAGAGACGTTTTTTATTGTTGTTGTTGGTTTTGTTTTGGCTTTTGGTTTTTTTGAGATAGAGTCTTGCTCTCGCTCTGTTGCCCAGGCTGGAGTGCGGTAGCGCAATCTCAGCTCACTGCAACCTCCACCTCCTGGGTTCAAGCAGTTCCCTGTCTCAGCCTCCAGAGTAGCTGCTACTACAGGTGCCTGCCCCCATACCCAGCTAATTTTTCTATTTTTAGTAGAGACAGGTTTTCACCATCTTGGTCAGGCTGGTCTCGAACTCTCTACCTCAGGTGATCAGGCCTCCCAAAGTGCTGGGATTACAGGCGTGAGCCACCACACCCAGCCTTAAAGAGTTTAAAAAAAAAAAAATTGAAGAATATACAACAGAGAGAACATGTGACCACAAAATCTAAAATATTTACCATCTTATCCAGAGCTTATGTCCTTGCCTTCAGCTGCCATTTATGCCAACCTTATTCAAACAGAATTTCTAAGTTTTGAAACCGTGAGTGAGTCACCTCACAAAAATAACATTTAATTATCAAAACATAGATTTTTTTCTAGTAAACTATGTAATAAGGATTTTAGGTTCTGTAGTAAAGCTAGTGTCACACAAAAATAATGAAGAACTAACTTCTAGGCTATAGTGTTGACTTTTTGTATACAACTGAAACTAGCAAAATTTGAAAATTGGCTAAGTGTGTAAATTATTTACTCAGTTACATGAAGAATATAGTTCTTTTGAATAGACACCCTATAAACCTTTGGCATTTTTTGTTTATTGTCCTAGTATGAGTGACGCATCACAGAAAAGAATTGAATTCAAATAGTATTTTTACTGAAGGAAGAACTAAAGCAGCAGCAAAAATACTTTTGGATACAAAGTGTCTTAATTGCTCTTATTTACAATCTGTCTATAATTTGAATATAAAATTATGTTCTGATTTCTCAATCAGGTTCCCTTCTTTGGTCCCCTTTTTGATGGTGCTATTGTGAATGGAAAGGTTCTACCCATTATGGTTAGAGCAACAGCTATAAATGCAAGCCGTGCTCTGAAATCGCTGATTCCATTGTATCAAAACTTGTATCCTTTTTTTAATGTAATGGTTTCTACTCTAATGTATGTCTACTTACAAAGGAAAATATTTCTTATGTATTGTTAAAGCCTTTTATTTTCTAGGTTTTTTTAATTATTAATTTTTGTAGAAATGGAGTACCATTATGTTGCCCTGGCTTGTCTCAAACTCCTGGGCTCAAGTGATTGTCCCACCTCAGTCGGCCTCCTAAAGTGCTGGGATTACAGGTGTGAACCACTGCACCCAGCCTGATTCTCTATTTATTGATGTATAGATGGTGGAGTTCCTCCCCAATGTTGGAGCATTTATGATATTTGAATGATATATTTTCTTTCA